AAAAATCCTATATATATATATATATATATATATATATATATATATATATATATATATATATATATATATATATATATATAAGGGCCACATGATTTGGTTTGAAGTTTTAGAACATATGTAACATCAGAGAAAATTGGGCAAATTACGCTGAAGATACACGACTGAGTCTGAGAATGAGATGCGAGTGTCCTGCGAGGCAAAATATATGCTGCTGGGCATGGGGGGGAACGAGAGCTCGTAAGGGATAATACATGTCATGTATACACGTCGTCTGGGCCTGTAAACCATAAGGTTTAAGTATAAGGCTTTATTTCTTTTGTAATCAAATAAAACAAAACTGGGATATTTTGTTGCTTGCCTTGTCACTTCTTGTGCTGTGTGATTGTTTTTGAGAGGCAGTATAGGCGTTTGGTTTGTACTAATTACTACTAATAACAATATGTGAGGCAGTGTGGTGGAATCAGGCTCTCGTCAAAATAATCAAAGTGAAAAAACTTGCATTTTTCCGCAGGTTTGTAAATTTTTATCAAACTTTTGTTTTTAGGCTCAACACCTTTCATGTCCATTAAAGAACTCATTTCTGTGTGGATTTTCATGAAAAACGTTGATTAAAGGCACAAAAATAAGGATATTTTCAGTTACCAAGGACTCTTAAGCTAAGGAAATAACTAATCTTTGGCGGCCATTTTCTCACTAATTTTACCTCTGAAAACAAGTGACCCCGACCTCCGCTTTCGCAAATATCTGGACTTTTATTCAAGATAAATGGATATTTTTTTCATCCCAAGCAAGACTAATGAACAAGCTTTAAGATTATACCAATAACTCTACATGCCCAAAAATTGACGAGAGCCTGATTCCACCACGCTGCCTCACATATATGTAATTGTTGAGGAGAATAACCGGACATTAACCCCCAAAAATGGTTGTGATTCGAATCGAAGTTGATTAATTTTGAATGCATCATAACATGTTTTATGTTGAGTTCGTTTTAAGAAGCCACCAGTGACCAAGTTACCTTTTACTTTTAGACCCTCAAAACTTACCAGATAACTTTGACAATAACAGAGTATTAATCATGTACGTGAGAAATCATTCTGTCTGTTAATGATAATTTCTCTGAGCTTTTAACACTGTACGTGCCATCCTGTCAGCTTTGGGGAGATACAGTGACGCCACGAAATTCAGAGTTCCCGGAATGAAATAAATTACTAGATCTACATCGGGACAACGCGGTGGCCTACAGTGGACCCTTTCCAGTCAGTTGGAAGACTTGGACCTTGCCGACGACTTGGCACTTCTTTCTCACAGTCGAACCCAGATGTAACAGAAAACAGATCGCCTCAGGACCTTCTCCTGTAGTGTTGGACTCCATATTCACACGGATAAAACGAAAGTTCTACGAATGAATGCAGCCGACGTTCCTATCACACTGCAAAGAGTACCATTGGCGGATGTTGAGTTCTTCGCCTACCTGGGAAGTGCCATCAATGAACAAGGCAGGGGGAACAGACAAAGACATCAAGGTCAGAATCCAAAAGGCAAGAGCAGCATTCATCATTCTCAGAAATATGGATGTCTAAGGAACTGGGATTAAACACCAAGCTGAGGATCTTCAAAACAAACGTGAAGACTGTTCTACTGTATGGTTCAGAGACATGGAGGCTCACAACATCAGCAGCAAGGAAACTGCAGAGTTTCGCACACGGATGCCTACGAAGGATAGTGGGGATCAAGTGGTACGATCGAGTAACAAATGCTCAACTGTAGGAAAGAACAAGCCAAAGGCCACTAAAGGAAGACATACAGGTGAAGAAATGGAAATGGATTGGACACACCCTGAGGAGATCCCCGACAAGCATCATCAGGCAGGCTTTAACGTGGAACCCACAAGGAAAACGTAAGAAGGGAAGACCAAAGATGACATGGGGGCGAGCGGTACAAGCGGAAATTGAAAAAGCGGGGAGATCATGGAAACAGCTAGAAAAGGATGCTCAGGACAGGCTTCGCTGGAGTAGTGCTGTTGATGGCCTGTGCTCCACTGGGAGTTAAAAAGGGCGAGAGAGAGAGAGAGAGAGAGAGAGAGAGAGAGAGAGATGTGTGCGGCGAGAGAGACAGACGGTGGGGGGAGAGATATTACACACAGAGAAAGA